CAATGCCGACGATTGGACTTTTCGAGTACAATTTAGAAGAAACTGTCCTACAGGCTAAGAAATGAGGAATTTCAATCAGAGGACCCTAGAAAGGAAACCATAGGACCTTCCATACGATTATCTCGTGTGTACCAACTTGACAGCAACTCGATACAACAACTAAGTGCCCACGATCATTTTTCAGTTCATCAATTTCAATCCCAGGTCAATAAGCCGGACTTTTTTTTTCGGAAAAGTGATCAAAAACAGGTTTACTACTTCGGCTAAAATTGAATTTGAGATCGATTAATTAACTGACAAAGCGAGTTTTGCATGGCTGCAGTTTAAGGCGTAAATCCTTGGTCGCATTTCACTAATAATGGTAACGTATCTCCTGTTGATACAAGCCTCAACCGGTTTTTCATGATACCTCACCCATACCATCAACAGCTTAACTATCACTCCAAAGAAAATTAATTAAAAGGCAAAATTTAAAGCAAAACAAAAATAAGAAAAAAAATGAAACAAACATAGAAAAATGAGAAAGAAGGCAGGCTCCGTTTGCCCATTCTAAACGTGCCTGCGCAGATGGTACACCTTTCGTATTAAAAGCCAAGCTTACACATATTATCTTTTTCAGTTTAATACTTACCAGTTCTTTTGCCAGGGACACCAGGATTTAAATTTTTCACTATTGTTTTAGGTTCTTCGCACTCACAAGTTGAGGCGTTGAGGACTTTTTTCTCCAATTTACAAAATTCCACAACAGACCGAGTACAAACGCAACCACACGCTGTGTAACTCCACTCCTGAGGAACAGTGGACAGGAAGTTAATGGTAGTGGAGGAAAAAAAGGCGCATCCCCGCTTTACAGACACACACACTCAATGTTTGAATGTTCTGATATGAACTCGGAGGTTTTCTCATAAAATAAGAGACCCACCGCGCATCAGAGGCACCGGAAATTCAGTTATGATCAGAGTGATATTTGCTGTAAACTCTATGACTCGCTTTATGGAAAGCACCCGTCTGCGAATGATAACTTCCTGATGACGACTGTACTGTGAAGTGAAACTTAACTGACTGAGACCAGGATGGATAATCCCTCACTGGCTGGGAAATCCTGGGAGCTCAACCTTACATGTGTAACGATACAGAAGGGTAAACCCCCGTGGAAGTGATTTGACAGTAGAATGGGGAAGAGAGAAGGACTAGGGGTACCTTTTTGCAAGCTCTTAAAACTCGCCATAATGCTGTTTACACATCACTGCGATCCATTCTTGTCTCTTTTTCAGCTTTTATAAGAAACAACAACAACAACAAAGGATCGTCAATGTCAGAAATTGCACTTACCATGTTGACAGGACAAAATTCTACTGGCCTTGCACAAACACACTTGCACTGGAACTGACTCCAACTATAGAAAAAAATTACTCCAAATTTTACCGATTCCCATGCTTATAGTATTACATTGGGCAAGGCATAGATTTTGTTTCGGCCCACAAGTAAATCTCTAAGTGAGGGTTTTCAAGAAGGTATCGCATTTAACGTTTCCAGAAGCTTTACGGAATTCATCACAGAACTCCTTTGAATGTATAAGCCTGATAAGAGGCGGATTTTTGGATGTGAAAATGTCGAAAATCGGAAAAACTGAGGAAGCTTAGTTCGATAATTACACTCTAGCTTTTTATCATCATCATACAATTCTATCTCCGGCTTTAACAGAATATGCAAACTCGCATGACATAAGTCTTTCCAGAAACCGAAACTCTTACAAAAGCTTTTCGAATCGCTAAGAAACAAGAAAGATTCACATTCGAAGACGGCTCATCCAAAATACTATGGGGAACAAAAATATACGGGAGAATCACACTTGTGAATTTCTAACATGGGTCCAAATATGTAACCGCTGTACTAAATATTCCGTGTCAACAAAAATCGAAAGCCTTTCGGGGTTTTCCCAACCATATGGGCAATTTCGTCGGCACTGGCCAGTAAACAAATCCTTGCACGGTTAAGATGAAGTAATACGCACCTGAATCTCGCGGGACATCCTACTTGAGGTTCATCCTGGTATTTACATTGACAACTACATGTATCTTCGTTGTAAAGTTCGTTTTCAGAGCAATCTTTAGCCTTCGCTACGCATGTACACTCACAACTGGTATGATTTAGAACCGTCAGAACCTTTTGGGTGCTAGTTTGCAAATCAAATACAGTTCCAGTTACATTGTTCCAGGTTGTGGCGGAGCAGTGGTACGTATTAGGTGAGTTGGTAGAGCAGCCTCCACTACATCGGTAAACACTGACGAAGAAGGGATAGTACTGATGGCGTGGGGCATCTATAGGAGTCACTACTTTCCTAGCTGCACATTTGATTGGTTTTGTAAAGAATCCTGAAAAATACCAAAGCGATTTTAGTAAACTCAGAATTCGTAATCTTTGAATAATGTGTGAAATACTTGCAAATGTTTATATGTTCGAAGTTGCGCGAGGAATCATTGCAAGGATCTCTAAGTAAGGATCTATGTTTATTTACAAGTACAGATGTTCAGTTTCAACTTTCTAAACTGTTTTAGATAAGCCAACGAGCATGCCGATGGTTTTGCATTTTCATTATTTCCCAAACAAACTCACTGTACCAAGTATGGCTGACAGTGGTTTCTGATTCTATCACTAAGGATTTGGTAATCTTTTTTGTATTTTTGTAGTGGGCAGAATTTAAGTTGACATTTGACAAAATCTGTTCTTAATTTACAACTGTACATAGTTTCTGCTGACAAATATGAACAAATGTGGATGTGACCAAAATTTCCTTGTGACAACCTTGTGATTTTCCAATCCATAACATGCGGAATTACATGTTAGGCTTATCACGGACCGTGACGCCCACGGTTGATATTTTCGACTTTGCCTTCAAATTACAAACCTAATATTAATTTTGAATACAAAAGATACTGGCTAATCAGTTATTTCAAGCGAAATTCCGTCTCTATAGCGGAGGTGTGAGAAGAACGCGGCTAATTTAAATGTACTGACTTGCATATTTCAACTGTTAATGAATAATGACATGTTTCAAGACAGATTATATTTGGAATTACTACTGAGCCGATTTGTGCACCGGCAACCAGCGACAAAATAACTTGTTTACTCTGCGGTAACCCGTTTGGGGTTGTTGTTTCTTTTTATCGTTGAAAGTTTCACATGATGTGAACATAGTTAGCCTCCTTTCAACACAACCAAGTGTTGTTGTCAATATACGGGATATTGCAAGATGATATAGTCCACTGAGTTTTTCCGTGACAAAAATATGACAGAGAGGTCTCAGCGGTGATTGAAATCAACTTTGTCGTAGTGAAACAACCATTTTTTTTGATAGCATCGATGATTGACTATCAGGAGGCGTCTAACTACCCACATGAGCAATTAAATAGATGAAGTCGAAGATGAATAAAGAATGGCGAAGTTTACGACATCAACAAGAGAATAAAATGATCCATAATACTCAAACAAGACTAAGCAATGCTTTCATTGCAGCAGTGCTGTCGCTTTGACAGTGGCTATCACTCACTTGGATTTACCTTCAACAAAACAACCATTTGCTAGGATTGACAAGAATCCTACAAATGCGCTGAGAATTTTCATCGATTGAAGAAATCAATGCTTTTCAGTCATCCGAATAAATCTTCTGTAACTGGAACAGTTTTCGCCAAAGGACAGAAATAGTAATACGAGCAGATTCACTCTCTTTAGAAACTAGACTTTAGCATTCTCTTCCGCACGTGTCGCCCACATCAACTTCAAGTCTTCCGGTGGCAAAAACGTCATCGACAAAAACCTCAGCAATACGTGAAGCGTAAATATTCCGTCTAAGGTCACTCACAAGTTTCTCCTTAATGCACTTCTACATTGTATTATATTACATACACTAAATATTAATGAACACAAAGAAGAACAACGCAAGTAAACAATAAGTAATTAATGGGAAACATTCCACAGTGATTGTGAATAAATTTCCATCTCATATGCCGAAAAACATAGTGTGCGGCTTTTTCCATGGGAAGAAATATTTCCCTAAAAAGAAGGGTAATTATGACTAACGGTTAGCGCAACTATGAACGTAATATCCGCTCACATAAATCACTTATTTTTCCATCATATTCCGGGCTGCAAACTTTGCCCCAAGATCTTAACTGCTCTGTATGATTCAATTAGGCAATGTGTGATTTTATATGCTGTAATTCATTTACAAACGTATCCAAAGTTACTTACGCTATTGATATTTTCACTCATGAATCTGTATATCGGTCATCTAAGGTCATACATGGGTCGCATGTAATCGGATGCTGCATATAAAAAACCGGCATGTGAGGTTCGTTAGATCTCACCGATTGCTGGGTCAGGCACTGAGTACAAAACGTCTGTGGGTACGAAACGACTGCATGGATACGGAAAACTTGGTATCTATGACACCCGATATCTACCCAGATATTCATTACAAATTTAAAAATATAATAAACCTTACGCTCCCCCCTTCCCTTGAAAAAGCGAGGAAAAAAAATTATATTTCGATTAAACTGACAGTTCGAGATGTTTCAGCAAAGGCTGATAACGAAAAATTTGTATGGAAATTAAAGAAGAGAATCGTCCTTTACATCATTATATAGTATCAAAACCTTAGGAAACCGGTTACAATCTTCTCCGAAAGAAAAGTTTCAGACCCAGTATTAACACTGAAAAATCTTAAAAATCCTTTGTAAATAAATTAATCTTTAGATATAATATTTTATAAACACGCATCATATCCATATCCGTTAAGATAAGTTATGATGATGCAGATGAAATCTTGATACTCGTTAGACTTTGACAGGAAGTCTGCTTCATTCCTTTCAGCTATCATACGAATTGATCTCTGTATTTCTGTAAATTTGAAAAGGGATCAGGGTACCGCGCTATACTGACTGTTTCATTGACAGAAAATATGTACTAACCAGTTAATCCGTTTGTGACTCCGGACTCTGTAAATCCATTGCTCCATTGCTCTATTATTCCATATTTCCGGCAGTTTCTGAATATTAATCGTTCATGCGATACCACTTCAATTAGAGGTCATTTCTTTGTCTGTAGGATATTAATTGTTTGTTCTAACCTTGATCACCTTCGTCTACCTGTAATCGCAGTTTTACACGCGGTTGTTAACTTAACTACTTGTGCAATGGCAGAGGTGCGTTTAAAGTGGTTCCACACATTCTTATTCCTCTTCCAAGCTATTTTGACAATAGCCGATACCTCTACAGACATCATGACCTGTCTGACTTACAGAGCAAACGACGATCAACAATGGTTTGCAGTGAGTCTCGGCGTCACGCTCTTAACGCTTATAGTGCTGTGCATTTGGTCGGTAATTGCGAGCACAAGTCGTACTTGGACAAAAGATGATGCTGATGACGAAACTGGTAACCCCGATGTAATATTCCGTTCGACTACGATTAATGTTGCTCTAGCTTGTTTGTGCGTTGGGCCTCCTCTGCATAGCGTTCAGTTATTTATCTTTTGCGCTTGTCGCTTCAAAGAGCTTTGGAACTCACCCGATGGTTTGCGGATAGAAAAGGGTCGTCTCTACTATCTTTACGTTCACACGCTGAACTTGAAAATGGTGGAAGGCCTTTTGGAATCCGCCCCGCAACTGATGATACAAGTCTACGTGATGGTGATGCAAAGAGAGGAAGCCAAAATTGAACTGATTCAAATGATTTCGGCACCGGTTTCCTTTTTGGCTCTCGTATGGATGTCTACTTCGATGGAAGTTCTCCGAGAATTTGAAAAATACAACTTGACATTTCTTCACAATGTTATCATCTTCCTTGGCAACGCCGGAATGATTGCTGCTCGCACGCTGGCGATTGTCTTTTTTACTCTATATTTCCCATGGCGGTTACCTTACGTAATCGGACTTCATTGTCTCGTAATGGTGGCCACTGGATTCTTGCTATGGCGATCAAATCGGAAACAAGATATGTTTGTGTTTATTTTCGCTTATTCCCCATTTTATCTTTTCGTTTACAGCTCGTACTATTTAAAAAAGCTGCGAGGTACTGCACCGTTTGGTGCTGCACTTCAAACGTTATCAACAATTTTCTGGCACGCTCTTTTCACAGCTGAAAACATTGTTATGATTAGCGTGTGTTTCTTCTTGCACGATGAAAATAAGTGGATAAATACTTCCGCTTTCGCCGCTGTTCTCATTGGTAACATTGGAGGGATTCTCATTAAGTGGCTCTCTTGGTGTTGTTGCTTTTCCGGACAACCACAGGGCGATGAATCTATCCGTCGACCCACGACAATCATTTTAAGACCGACTAACTAATGTTGTTGAACAAATCAAGAAGGGAATCAAAGCTCTCTTCCATGAGAGGCGTCCGACGCCATTTTGATGTTATGTGCGATGTTGGAATTTATCAGAATGAAACCAGAATGAGGTGTTTAAAAACATTCTTTATAATTTTCAGCGCCTGATTTTCTCATTTTCTTCAGAGTTTTAACGTTTTGGACTCGAATATTTATCGCCAAGAACCCAGTATTTGTTAACTGCGTGTGATTTATTGAAAACAGATTACAGCAACGGAAGCGTTCGGCGAAAGATCTGGTCTCAAGGACAGAGAAGAAAAGCGAGAGCCTGGGAACTAGATTGAACGATTTACTGGTCGTGGTGGATACATGAGTATTTGAACTTCAGATTAATGAATGAAGATGAGGGTGATTATTGCAGTTATGGACATTTTTTATAAGTAGTACTTAGCACTAATTCACTTAGCATGAGTTTATCACGAGTTCATAAAATGACCGGCTCCCGGTTAAACAAGTCGTGTCCTGCTCTCTCACTCAGTCAATTAGTAGATGAACGTTCATACGATTTGTACATGAACGTTCATTCTTTTTGTACATGAACGTTCATTTTAGTAAAGTGTACACGCTTCGAGAATCACTTAGCTCGATGATGCCTCTCTGTTCCAGTTTTGGTTTAAAAAATCCTAAATAGAAAAGCAATTCCCACGTACTTCTCCATGCTCCTTGATTACATATATTAATAGCAGTTTTTTTTTAGTTCACAATTTCCTCTGAGTTCCACCCTTATTACCAAGCATTTTGCCTATTAACCATCTCCTATTCAACGTGTGCTCACGGAATAATTGTGAAATTTTTGATGGCAAGTGAAAGCCACGTGTGTTTTTCAGCGTCAAAGAAGTTTAAGTCTGCTGTTTAAACAGTGTGCACGAAAACGTCAGCTGTTACGATTATCAAACCGTTCAGTGGAGAGAAAACTTGCACAAAAATTTGGACGAGATAGATATAAATTATATATATATATATCATATAACGATATTTTAAATTTTCCATAAATGAAATTGATGATGCTACTCGGAATGAAAAGTGCTGCTGCAAAAGCTCGCTGAGAATCCTGGGCCAGCGGTGCTACAATGAGTCGGGAGTGCAATCAAACTGCAAACCACTAATCTTTTCATAAGCTAATGAGAGGTATCAAACGAAAACAATTATAAAAACTAAGCCAAATAATCAGTAAGAAGAATGAAAATAGCATTACATCCTGCAAATTTTATTTACAAGCCCAGTATCTTTTACAAATTCCATTGAAATTCGAAAAAAGCCCGTAAATGTCAAGTTACTTCAAATCAGACTCTCTGTATTCTATGTTCTTGCTATATTGTAAATAGCAACTTCGTCAGTCTTGATAATAACGTAAATAATCCATCCACATTATCACTATATTCATGGTATTGAATTTGATCAAAACATGCACACACATATGAAGACCCTACAGTTTATCAGAGACTTAGAACAAATCAAATATCATCCAGCATCGAAAACGAGCTTAAGTTGAATTTTCAGAAAATACCTTTAAAAATGATTTTTGAAATTATGCAAAACTTAAGCTTAAAAAGTGGCTGGATGAATAAATATTTAATGGATATTTTCCCTGGCTAGACCGCCACACTTATGAGATGAATAATGATATTTTATGTACGATTATACTTTTGTAATAGTTCATTATTAACAGGATGATAAATTGTCGTGTTGTTACGAAAAGAAAGCTGATTCTTCTCGTAGTTCCCATACATAACCGCAAAGGCTGTGTAAATACACGCTAAGTTTTTCGATGCGTCACAGCTACAGCCCATAATTAGTCCAGACTCATCAAAGTTAGAAAAGTAAAGAAATGCTGTTCAATTTCAACACGAATTCAATTAGCACTGAATTTTTAAGCATCAGTCGAATTCCAAGGTTCAAAAATATCATCCTCGAAGTTCAAATTAATTGCTCCTTCACCAGCGTCAAACCGTTCAGCTGCAGCGTACATATCCTGGCGCAGCTGTTCCATCTGTTGCTCCTCGTGTAACTCAGCATCTGCCTGAGCGTAAGCAGCCTCAGCATTGACTCCCCACCTCCTCCCCACTATGTGATCCAGCAGGCGCTCCTCAGCCCACTCCTCACAATAAAAACCACTCAGCGATGTCTCCAGTCTTGTGAAGCGTTGCGCCACCAGATCCATTGGCTTAGACTTTCTCTTAGCTCTTAGCTTTTTCTTGTTATTCAGGGCCAGTAGGTCTTTATTAGTTTCTTCCTCGATGTCTTTCTTCTCCATCGGCTCCTCGGAGTCAATCATAACCTTGTTTGGCTGCATGCCGGTGAACTTCCTAAAGCGCCGGATCATAAAGTCGACAATCTCGTACTCGTTTTCTTGATCGTCGATGGACTCTTTCACTTCGGAGAACACGTCTAATACGATGGTCAAAAACATATTCATCAAAATGAATGTGCCAAAGACCATTATGGTGAAAAAGAATATGGGCCCAAGAATAGGAGCCGCTTCCTCGATAGCCCTGTAATCAAATGAGCCGAGTAAAATTCCCATCACAGTCTCGCAAGTAGAAACAAAGTTGTAAAAATCAGAAATGTCCTTGCCGAAAACCGCAAAAGCAAACAGCGAGTAAGAGAGGAAGAATACCAAGAAGACAACGGAAAATGCAGCCAAAGGACCGGCAGAGCCTCTTAAGGTTTGCGCCAGAATCGTAATACGACGGTTAAATCGTAGGAGCTTAATTCCTTTTATCCAAGCAGTGAACACCACCATGCTCACCATGTACATGAAAACTTCGTTCCAGGAAGCTACTCGGCCAAAACTGACGTATTTTCCTGGATTTTCTTCTAGGCTGGTAATTGCTTGGTTCACGAGCATCGTACGCGTGAAAAACATACCCACGCACGTGAACACCAATATGATCATTACAAATTCGATGTAGTTCCAGAACTCTTTGAAGTATCCCTTCCGAAGCCTGTACAGTTGCTTGAGCTCCTGATAAATGAACACAGCAAAGAAAAGGAGGATGAAAAACTCGCAAGCCACAAGAAATGATTCAAAACCACCTCCGAAGGTGAAAAGGCGAGCAATCTTCAGGTCAGTAAACAAGAACACTCCGTTGGTAGGGAGAAATTCTACAATTAGAGTCATAACGCAGAACAGATTTACTACAGGGTTATATGTGGCTATTTCTAAGATAACAGCGCGGGTTTGTGAATCAATCCATTTGTTTTCCTCCAGGGTCTGAATAATTTTCGTGGCGTTTTCTCTGGTGTATCCTAATTCTGCGACAAATCCTCCCCCACCATATGTCGACACGAATCCTAGGAGGATAAAAGAAGATTATGTAGAGATTATACAGGAAAGCAATAAATCTTAAATTTTATCCTATTTTGTTGTCAGCGTTTAGAATGCGATTACGTAAAGAATAATGCCTCCAAAAATTAGAAGAAAAGAAACAGAAAAACAAGAGTTCTTAATAGGAAGTGTCTCCTATAAAAACTGTACACATGTCTCACCCATCACAGGTAATGTGTCCAGTTCATCCGATGTGTTGAATTCCCACGCCTGGTAAGTGAATGGCGGAATGTACAAGGACTCGTTTTTGAGTGGCTCCCATCCAATATCAAACTGGCCTTTCTCCTCGGCAAAAAAACCATACCAGTCATTGCATTCGTCGATGAAAGGTGTGAAGTCTGATGCTACCTCACAGGAGTCTGTTGCAAAGAATAAATCGCGCTATTAGTCTAAAGGTCTCTTTCTTACTATGAGTCACTCAAACTAAAATGATAACTATACGATTTCGCTTTTGCTACCCTGTGAAAACGTTTTTTTGGTGAAATCCGAGTGAGACTTCTCATCAGTTGCCATAAAGCCCTGCAGCGGGTGTAAATACGTGAGATTAACGCGCCCGTCCACTAACGCACTGAGGTGACCTTTTCTTGAAGACCAATCTACTCTTAAACGACGTGGACGACCTCTCCTTTTTTTTTGACCACGATCTATTTGTTTTTTTTTTTTTCAGGATGTGCATTAAGATTTGTCTTACTTTCCAATAATTTAACAACCTACAGTTTTTAACTCTGAGCTGTCTCAGTCTTGCCATTCCCACAATGTATGCTGTCAAATCTGCAGTGTAGCCAGGCTCCGTGTCATCTCCATTATACAATGCTGTGGTGTACAAGGCATTCATCAGTGTCGTCTTGGCATACTGATAGAAATTTTCTCGGCTTCCAATCTACATGGGATCAGTAAAAATGGAACATGTGGTTAGTACATACAATAAAGGCTTCATACTCATCCTCTGCAAAGAGGGCTACAGCTGATATCCTGTGCAACTGTGCTAGGTAACTGCACGGTTGTTATTTTTTACCACGACAGTCAGGTATGCAGGTATGACCATGTTTTATTAACCGTAGCCTTTTAAACTATCGTGCCTATCACTTGTGTACAGCGGAGACCCGGACGACATGCTTACCGCTGAGAAGCTTTTTTGGCCTCCATGAACTCCCTCTACGAACGAATTATACATTTCTTCCCTAAAGGCAAAGGAAGTAGGATCCCTGTGAGAATAGCTGACAATGCACAGGCAGGCCACGAAAAACACGTACAACGCAACTTCCTTGATGATTGCATTCATTTTCATTTCTTTAAATCTGAAAAAAAAAAAGAAAACGTATAATTCTGTTAAAAAGAAAGTTACCTCTTAGGAAAGTAAACCATCCATAACTATAAATAGATGTGTAAGAACAGCATTCGTCTCCATCGTTTTCAGGCCAAAAGCAATCAACGAAAAAAGAGAATTAGCTCTAAATCGCTTTCATTCAAATCCAACGACCCCTCGTTGGTTATTAGGGTCATGCTGATAATCTGATTCAAATGATTGAGCGGTTTTAAGTAAGTATACCTGAGTTGTCTGGCTTTCTCCAGTTTCGACTTGTCGGGTGGCTGTAAACGAATAAGCGTCTTTGGTTTCATTCTTCTGTTGCCGGATTCTGGAAAAAGGGAAAAGGGTTAAACGTTAGTTGGTAGTTTTGAGAGACGATACTTGAAATCATAGAGTGTGGTTCGTCACAATTTAACGTGAAAGAAAAATGGGGAGAGGGGGCTCAGGGGAGACTTGCAGAATCTACAAGATGAGAAAGAAGCCGTGAACGGTTTGGTAAGGATACTGTGATCTTACTGACCTCTTGGACCGTCGTGCAGCCAGTCTTCGTCATCAAGCTTTTTCTTATCTCCTTCCTCTTCTTCCTCTTCCTCGGCAGGTTTCTTAATGATAACTGCAATTATAAGTGCGACTGCGAGGATTTTGATGGGCTGACTGATAAGGACATCTTGGAAAAACGAGATCAACATGGATGAGATCCATTGAGCAGATTTTTCTTTACCAAATTGTAGTCCATAGAGGACACAGAAAAAAGCTGTTGTAAAACACGTCAGAAAGCAGATAACCCAGCCAATGTAAAGAAACCAATAGGGCAACAACCTCTTCTTCTTCTTCTTTTTCTTCTTCTGCTTTTTCTCCATCTCTTCTTTTCGCTCCTGTTTAGAGATTCTAAAACTAATATCTTCTGATTCGACACCCTCAGCTAATAGAATCTCATCGTTTAC